TATCCAAAGTGGTTCTTTCTACTGAGCAAGGTGAGTTTAATTTGCTGAAGGGAAATAATGAATCTACAATCTGTATCAACTCAAATCTATGTACAACCAATGTTTGATTCTTCAGAATATTCTACAACCGTTTTTCTGCTCAGAACTCCCTTTTGAATTAAGTGGTAAGTTCTGTGTTCAGAAGAGGCTTATATTCAGGCAGGGGTGCCCCTGCCCAGGGTCTCCTGCTTTAGAAGCTTGCTCTGGCCAGACCCCACCCCAAGAGGAGAGCAGTGCTCAGAGCTAGGCAGATGCCCACTGGGAGCCCACCACACCTACCCCTTCTAGACTACACTCTGGTTACCTGGACCCCCGTAATTCCCCACCAGACAGCTCTGGGTTCACATCCATGTGTGCCTGGATGGTAGTCTTCCTCAGACCCTTTAGCCTGAGGGTGGACTGTGACCCCAGTGTGCTGTCCTCTAGATCAAAGGGGTAGCCAAGCCATGACTCTTTATAGGAGATCTGGCCCAACCTTAGAATTGCAGAGTGGGGTGTCTACAGCCATGTGTAAATGATCCTTTCTGAGCAGGATGGAGCAAGAGGTAGAACACAACATGGGTGGGCTGCACCCTACAGCTGGGGACTGAGGGCCAAGGGCTAGCTAGCTCTGCCAGTGCTGCCATTTTCCTACACAGAACTCTAAAAAGTCTGAGAATTCTAAGTTTGTTCCTGACCCTCCAAATCATCGTGACGGTATATAATATAGTATATTTCTCAGAGAGGGGAGACAGAATATATCTTAGTTATGTTTGTTTATTCGAACTGTAACTTTTAAATACTTAGAATGTAATATATAGGCCTCTCATTGTATTCTTACACTGGACCCCACAAATGTTAGAGCTGGGCCTGAATTAGAGTCCTAGCATAAACAGGATCCCACTCAGCTGGTTCAGTAGAAGGGCAGCAGTATGGGGGGTGGGTTTGGTGAAGGCACCCAGAGAAGATGGCCCAGTAAGAAGGGAGCAGAGACAGAACACCACAACCTTTCTCTCCACGTTTATCCCATTGACCAAGCACAACAGAAAGTCAGGCTAGCAAGGAAATCCAAGTCATATGATCCGAAGGGTCAGCCCCCCAAGCACAGAGCAGGATACAGGAGATCAAACAGTTTGAAAGGGAAGGCAAAGAATGACCAATACAGAGGACAAAAAAATTAAATTTCTGGTTGGAACTAGTTACTAGTTAGATATTAGGCATATGGGGTTGTCCTCCTTCCTCCCTGTATCATATGAATACTGTTAGACTTTGAAGCTTTCTTTTGTTTCATGTCTTAGCCTGGTGCAAATATTCATATTAATTATTGATGGATCATTCATAATTATGCTATTGTATTTATGGCAGTTTAGTCAACACTGGGCAAGACTGCATAATTCACTACATTTAAAATATATTTCTTGGTTCTCTTCTACTCATAAGATGCAGCTGTATATGCACACAGCTGTTTATAGATTATGTAATGATGATCAACTGGAAAACCACTTTGGGATATAAAAATGTGTAACTAGAGTATGTAAAATCCTACCTGCTTCCTTGGGTTATGCAACGGTTTCTGAGATATGACACCAAAAGCATGACAACAAAAGAAGAAATAGATAAATTAGAACCTATCCAAATTAAAAACTTTTGTGCTTCAAAGGACACCATCAAGAGAGTGAAAAGACAACCGACAGAATGTGAGAATACATTTGTAAATCAAATGTCTAATAAGGAACTTGGGAGGTGGGTGGGGGGATGGAGGAAATAAGTGGAGGACATTAAGAATACACTTAGCACGATGAGCACTGACTAATATATGGAAGTGTTGAATCACTATATTGTATACCTGAAACTAATATAACACTGTATGTTAACTACACTGGAATTAAAAAAAAAACCTCAACAACAAAAAGAAAACCCAATTATTTGGCAAAGGATTTGAATAGACTTTTCTCCAAAAAGGTATACAGATGGCCAATAAGCACATGAAGAAATGTTCAACATCATTAGCCATCAGGGAAATGCAAATCAAAACCACAATGAGACCCACTAGGATGGCTAAAATGAAAAAAGACAGACCAAGATATGAAGAAATTGGAACCCTCTTACATTGCTGGCCGAACATAAAATGATGCGCCCATTTTGCAAGAACAGTTTGGTAGCTCCTCAGAAAGTTAAATAGAGTGATCTTATGACTCAACAATTCCATTCCTAGAAATAGAATGGAATTGAAATCCCAATAGAAATGAAAACATATACCCACACAAAATCTTATATACAAATGTTCATAGCAGCATTATTTATAATAGCCAAAAAGTATAAAAAAATGGAAATGCCCAGGAACTGGCGAACGGATAGACACATGTATATCTGCCCAATGGAATATTATTTGGCAATAAAAATTAAGTCCTGATGGTACTTGCTACACTGGGGGGGAACCTTGAAAGCATGACCCTAAATGAAAAAAGCCAGACACAAAAGGCCACATACTATCATATAAATATGGTTCCATCTAGATGACATGTTCAGAAAAGGGAAACCCATAGAGACAGAAATCAGAGAAGTGCTGTCCAGGGCTGGGGAGATAGGGGGTGACGGAATGGATACAGTTTCTTCTGGGGTGATGGCTGCACAATTCTGTGAACTGTGCAGTTTAAAGGGGTGGGCTTTCAGGTATGTGAATTATATCTCAATAAAGCTGTTCAGCGAAAATAGAAAAATCTACCTGCTTTAACTTGGAACATAGACTTGTCGGGGTGTATAGTTTGTTTCTGTTTATATTTGGTTTAGTTTATTTATAAAATGGCTTTTTAAAAGTCATTTCATACTGTTAAATATAGTGACATTTCAAAGTGTTTTGTTTACTTTTTGGCATTCCATATTCTGAATTGTAACTTCGTGAATCGTGGTTCCATTGTTCTAGGATAGGATAATTACTTTGTTTTTAACTGCAAACTACAAAATCCTTTTGGTGATGTCAGAATTTACATATTAAATATATTCCCATCCTTCATTACTTTTTAAAAATGGGATATTTTTGTGAAAATGTTATACACTTTAAAGTAATCAGAGAACGGAAACACTGCATAATGTCTCACTAGCCTCTCACTATCCCTATTATCTTGAATAAGAGAGGAGACAAAACTAGATTTGGGTAATTATTTTGGAATTTCTGTGCTCCATACAGCTGTGAAGCTCACAGCTAAAGCCACCCCAGATGACCTCTTACCTGATCACTACCTGCATACTCCTTCTGATTACAAATTAGACAGTGTAAAAACAGACTTGACTTTTGAGGTCTATTGAATTAAAAAAAGTATAGGAAGTAAATTAACCTGCACTTGTTATTTACTCCAGTTTATCTCTGGTAACTATTAAACAAGTTGAACTGCTTGGGGAAGTTAAGCAACAAGCGAACCCTACTTTGTAATAGTATGGCTGTTTATGCCAGACAGACATACCGCCTGACTAACTTGCCATCAAGAATGGATGTAAGCCATTGCATAAAAGGACTAGAACAATCCAGTCTGTCTTCCATGGCACTGTGCCTAGCTGTGGCAAGGGATCAGAAATAGAAGAAAATAATAGCTTAGTTAGATAGTGAGTACTTCCAATTAAACTGACTTCATGTCTTATCATAAAACATGGAAGCAGTAGGTCTTTATGCTACTTGCCGATTGATAACTGGGCTCTTGAATTAAGCTTTTATTCATTCATTTGACAAATAAGGATTAAACATATCTACCATGTGCCAGGACAGATAGGCCCTGGGACACAGCAGTAAACAAAGTAGATGTGCACTCGACATGAACAGAGCTTTTGTTTTAGTTAAAAGAAGACATATACGTGAAAATACAATATTCTTCAGAGCTGTTTATGTTTTATGAATATGTGACCTGTCATTCAATGAAGAATGAAAAGCAACGTACGAGAAATACATACTAGGGCAAAAAGCTTAAATAGATAAAAATCAACACACAACACAGTCTACTAGACCAAGACCATGGGAAAAATTAAAACACAGACATGTAAACCATAATCCAGTTATGAAAGGTGACCCTCAAGCTTGCCTTTTCCTTCTATCAGTCCAATCAAATACAATTATTTACATGATTTGCATTGTTTGTAAGACAAATACATGACCATTTGCCATGGAAAGGTAAACTTGGCAAAGTAAGAAGAAGCACAATGGCTTAATGCGAAGAGTCTGCAGAAGCTCCATAGGAACGTATACTGGGGACGTCATGGAAAGTGGAAAACTGTCACAGAACTTTGGTGATGCAAAATTTGACAAAGAGGAAGAAAAGTACATCCTGTCTAGAGGTTTAGCTGCTTGGTCAATGTGGTCTTGGATTCCAGACAAAACTAAAAATCAGTAGACTTAATGAGCACTTTTCTCTGATCATGAGCGTGGACTAGCCACGTAGCCACTTTGTGTTTCTCGAACAATGCTCCAGGGCCTCCTGCCCTCTCGCAAACGTGGTGTGGAGCCAGTGTTGCGGACAGCAGCAGGATCCCCACTCACTCAGTCTTGCAAGCCACCTCACAGTGGAGGCAGTTTCAAGCAGGGGAGGCAGAAAAGAATCACTCAACATCAAATCATGGCATAACGAGAGCACAGAGAGTTACTTAAGAGTCACATGGAGGAAGCGTGTGGACTGAATTTGTTCACTTTGAAGGGAGGGCTCAAATTCAAACTGCGGAACCCATATGCGATCGTCTTTGTCTGCCGCTGTCACTTTTGCCAGAGCTGAGAAGCAGATGAAAAGGATTGCTTTAACTTTCAAAAGGCCCCCCGGGACAGGACCTTTGCTGGAGGGAGCCACTGGCACGTACACATACGGGTGTGTCACAGATGTCCCCAGCTTAGGGACCAAGTGGGAGATAATCTGGAACGACAGTGCTAGTTGTGGCTATGTGTGCGCCTGCGCAGGGAGAGGAGACTGTGGATTTCGAATGTGTCAGCTGCTGGAGCCTCTTACCTTTGCCGGACTGACATCCAAACTGTTGTGTTTTCAGCTTCCCTCACATCAGGTCAGGGAGAACTGGTGACCTCAGTTTCTTCACCTGCAAAATGGGTTACTGGCTTCTCAGGGATTTAGAGGCAATAGCTTCTGTTCACCAAGCAGTGCCCCACGTTTGCTTTTTTCAGCGAGGAACAATTTTCTCCCTTTGTTTTGTCTATTGTTTTGTTACTCAGCCATTTCTTTTTCTCCCTGCACACCCTGACCCCAAACAGGCACCTTGTTTGCTTGCATTGCTTTCTTGGAAACACTTGGCGGAGTTGCTGCAGTTTCTACTTTTAATGGAATTTATTCAGCAACCGTTGCTTGGTACCCAGGCTTCACCTTTCTGCTGTCTGCTGTTCTATTACTAATTCCAGCCATCAGTCTATGGTATGTAATTATTTTTAATCATTTTATCAAAGGATAGCTGGATTAAATGAATTCCCTAACCTCACCGGTAAAATTACATAGACTGCTAAAGTTGTTGAAGAAATTCAACTGAGTAACTTTTTTTTTTTTAATTTATTTTTGTTTTAGAGAGAGAGCAAGTGGGTGGGGAGGGGCAGAGGGAGAGAGAATCTTAAGCAGGCTCCACGCTCAGCATGGAGCTGGATGTGGGGCTCGATCTCACAACCCTGAGATCATGACCTGAGCCAGAATCAAGAGTTGGATGCTTAACCGACTGAGCCAGCCAGGCGCTCCTCAACTAAGTAACTTTTAAAGATCTAATTGGCTCTAATTGATTCATGAATTAGGCAGCATCCCATCTAACAAGTAGAGGGGAGCTCTGAGGAGCTGTGCTGAGTGGAAGGTTTTCACAGGATGGAGGGTGGATCAAGAAGCAAAAGAGAAGAAATAATTATTTCAGGCAAAGTCACCTTCCCTTAAGGAGAAGGGCAGGGGGTCTTATCAGGTAGATGATCCCATCTTCCTTTGGGGGATGGAGGGGACCCGTGGGGCAGACTCGTTGGTGCTGATCAGAAAACTCTTGCCTGACTAGTGAAGATTCTGTCTCTGGGGAAGGCTGGAACTGCAGTTAAGTTACATATTCAGTCCAGGTTTGATAACTTGGCCTACCTGATGCCATTTTGGGCCTGTGGTTTTTTTAACAAAGTTTTACCTCAGAATGTACTTTTCTCAATAAATTTTAAGATTTTATTTATTTATTTGACATAGAGAGAGAGAGTGTGTGCACAAGCAGGGGGAGCAGCAGAGGGAGAGAGAGAAGCAGGCTCTCTGCTGAGCAGGGCATCCCATGCAGGGCTCGATCCCAGGACCCTGGGATCATGAAACAAGCCAAAGGCAGATACTCAACCAACTGAGCCACTCAGGTGCCCCTTTCAATAAATTTTAGACATGAAGACATCTACTGATAATGTTGAAAACCTAAGAAGAAAGAGACAATGACAAGGCTGACCAAAACTAGGAGAAAGAAAGATTGGGTCAGACTCTGAATAGCTACCCCCTGTCTCTTTAAATATGAACAATTGATTAAACTAGCATCCAAGAATAGATAGATAGATAGATAGATAGATAGATAGATAGATAGATAGATAGATAGATAAAAACTATGATTTCCTAGAGTATAATATCCTCTGAGGATCAGATTATATAAGAAGATAAACTTTAATATGGAGTCTTGGGTTGATGACAAGAGCAAATAGTGAACACTGAATATCAGGAATGTTCTTTCCAGAGAGTTGGCTTATTTAATGATTACTGTTTTAAAGGTAAATACCCAAATAAACACAAAGTACTAAATTCTATTTGTGAATAGTACGTAGAATAAAAAGACCAGAGTCAGACATGTAAGAGAAATATTTATTTCTCCCTTTGCCTTTTGGTTAATGAAAAGTATGATCTAACTAGGTAAGTGTTTGCTAAAATGCCCAGGCAAACAGGGTCAACACATTCTATGGGGCCAGCACAGTGAGCTGAGGGCACACTGCCCTTTCTTTGCTGGGCTTTGCCCATTCCACATGGCTAAGAGCATAGCGTGGTGATGGGGATCAGTAGAAGGTGCGGCACAAAAGGCATCTCTGCTTTCTCCTGAGCACTGGGCTGGGGTGGGGTGAGTAAGGGTGAAAAGTACCGATGTACCCAGGCTTTATGCATTCTGCCAAGACTATGAACTCCTTAAAGGACTGCCCTACATTTATTCATAGTAGGACCTCAGTACATATTGTCTCTACTGAATTTTGATACCTAGATCTGTGTAAGAGTGTAACAATATTTGCAGTTCCTCTGTAATTTTGATGAAAAGTTATTTTTACTAGATAGCTTTTTAAAAAGAAACCATTCACCTATTGAACTGGCAAAATTAAAAATATACGCTGTGCTAATGAGTACACGATGAGACAATCAATCTTATACGTTGCTGGTAGTAGTAGTATTTGGCACTGTCATTTTTGGAAGGCAATTCATAAACATGTATCAAAAGCTTTTTTAAGAAGTTCATAGTATTTGACCCAGTGATTCCTTTTAGAAACATATCCTAAGGGAATGGTCAGTAATGTAAAAAATTTATATACAATTGACCCTTGAACAACAACACAGGTCTGAACTGCATGGGTTCACTTAACATGCAGATTTTTTTCAATATATACAGTACTATAATGGATTTTCTCTTATGATTTTCTTAATGACATTTCTCTAGTTTTATTATAAAAATACAGTATTATATATATATAAAACATACCACATACATGTTAATAGACTGCTTTATATTACTGGTAAAGCTCCTGGTCAATAGTAGGCTATTAGTAGTTAAGTTTTTAGGGAGTCAACAGTGATGTAAACATTTCCAACTACATGGATGCCCCAACTCCTGCATTGTGCAAGGGTCCACTGGTATAAAGACATTCATTAAGACAAAAAAATTTTTTTAAATGACCAAAATGTCCAACAAGAGAATGATTAAATAAATGATGGTGCATCCATAGCATGAAACATAATGTTAATAAGAATTGGGGAAGGGGGCGCCTGAGTGGCTCAGTCGTTAACTGTCTGCCTTCGGCTCGGGTCATGATCGCAGGGTCCTGGGATTTGAGCCCCCCATGCATGGAGCTCCGCAGGCATGGAGCCCCGCATCAGGCTCCCTGCTCCATGGGAAGCCCGCTCTCCCTCTCACACTACCCCTGCTTGTGTTCCCTCTCTCGCTGTCTCTGTCAAGTAAATAAATAAAATCTTAAAAAAAAAAAAGAATTGGGGAGTAGATTAATGGGTAATTTTAATTTTATTCTTCATATATTTATACATACCTATTATGAACACATATGCAGCTAGCTAAAAGATAGTTATCCTTTTAATAATGTTTCTAATGTAAATATAGATGGTCTTCTGAGATTTTTTTAACCCTATACTGTTCAATATTAAAAAATATAAAATTACATGCAGGGTGCCTGGGTGGCTCAGTCAGCTGGGCATCTGCCTTTGGCTCAGGTCATGATTTCAGGGTCCTGGGACCGAGCCCTGCCTCAGGCTCCCTGCTCCGCGGGGAGTCTCCTTGTCCCTCTGCCCCTCCTGCCCCCTGCTTGTGCTCTCTCTCTCTCAAATAAAGAAAATCTTTAAAATATAATTACATGCTTTTTTTTTTTTTAAGATTTTATTTATTTACTTGAGGTGGGGGAAAGTAGAGGGACAGGGAGAGAGAGTCCTAAGCAGACTCTGTGCTGGGCACCAAGCCCCAGCGCTGGGCTCCATCTCACCACCCTGAGATCATAACCCTGAGATCACGACCTAAGCCGAAACCAAGAGTCACCCAGGTGCCCCCCATTACTGCTTTTTAAATTCTAGATGTCTTCTTGTCCCAGCTTCAATTATAGGTATTGAACATGAACTTCAGCCATATCTATAGTCACAGCTACTTTTTGTGGACTACAGAATAAACAATGGGACAGATGGACACTGTAGGTACCTGGAAGAGAAAAAAACTGTAGATTTTTTTATTATTTTCAGAAAGCAGTGAGTCAGTTGTATTCAAAATGCTACTATATTCCTTCTACATATAATTTGCATAATTTATTGGAAGCCATATAGTCGGGGGAAGATAGAATACAGGTTATTTATTTATGTATTGCCTTCATCACAATTTTAAAATATCTTGTTTGCTTTTGCAGTGTGGTCAAGTGCATCAACTGGAATGAAGGAAGCTATGTACTTCTTACACAAGAGGAATCCAGTGAAGACACTTCAGACAGATGATTAATTGTGATTAAAAAAAAAAACAAAAAAACTGAAAGCACATATCATATACTCTGACTTCTGAGGAATGTAAACTAGTTCCATAATCAATATTTCATGAATAATCAATGCTACATGTCCTTTCTTTTAAACTGAACAGTGAGAGAACTAGCTCCTCGCTCTAGCTTCTTACAGTATCATGCACTTTGAGCACTTTATGAGTATCATGTGATACATTTCCATAGATAGAAGAACAAATCTCAAAACATTTCCAACTTTTGGATTTAGGACAGAAACTGAAACTTCACAGTATAAACAGGGATTAAGAAACTTGACAAAATCAAAAGCAATAATCCGGTAATCCAATAATCCTAACATACTCCAGTCTCACTGCGACTAAGGAAGGAGAACTAACGCTATACCTAAGTTTCTTCATCTGCAAAATGGGTTTCTGACCTCTTGAAGATTTTGAAGGCCTAACTGTTCAAAATTACGATGAATCATTCACTGATAGGAAAATGATAGAAGTTTCAAATATTTCTAGTACAATAGTACCTCTGCCTGGATAATGCTTTGTTTTATAGATAAGCCCATCAAGGTGCTATTGACAGTGAAAGCTTTTAATAGATGCAAAAACCTGAAAATGGAATCACTTTAAATGATACATATTTTTACTTTTCCTAATATAATTAGATAGGTAAAACGGGGGATTGGAAAAAAAATACCATAAAAAATTGTTTATAAAGAAATGTAAAAACTGAGTAAGCAGCCAATCAGGAAGTAATATTATAGAGCCAATATTCATTCCTTATTTTTATCAAGGGATAGCCATTTCTTACTGCCTTAAACTCATCCTGAGACCCACCCTGGTCCCTGAAAA